ACTCTTTCCTGCCTATGCAGGGGGTTGGACTCGATGATCTATTGAGGTCCCTTCCGACCCTAACATCTATGAATCTATGAAACTAGGGGAGGCCTCTCCAGAGAAGCCCAGAGAGGGTCTTTGGAGCATTCCCATGCTCAGAGGGCTCTGGAGAGCTGAGGAGGAGCTGTTTTTTGAAGGCCTGATACCAGTGGAACAGGGGGTATTCTTATACGACAAATGAAGGTGTGATTGTATACAATGGCAATCTATCTAGCATGGATAAAGAGTAAGGAAGTTGTGGTGACACAGACTTCAGTGTGGTCTGTGGAAACCTGTTGTGTACTGGGTATATCCTTCATTTGAAAGCCTGTGCTAAAATCCATGCCAGCTTCACTGTTGCCGTTACCTGTTCTAGCGAGTTTAAAGTAGTATGGGGGGGTCGGGGGGATTACTGTCACACCTTCATATGCTGTGCAGACATACCCTGGGAAGTGGAGAGAGCTAGAAGTCTCTAAGAAGTTTTAAAGTCAGGCCGAGGAAGAAAAAATAAATTGGGGGGGTTGAGCATGTGCGCACATGCAGACGTGCACCCCCCAGCAGGGAAGTCTGCAGAGGAAGGGGGAGGGGAGGGAAGGGGACGGGAGGGGACAGAGTGAGGGTGGGGCAGGGTGCAGGACTGAGCCACGAGGGCCGTCAGGGGCAGAGAAGAGAAGCAGCCCCTTGCCCTGGTGTTGGGGCCAGCAGCACTGCAGACCCGGCTCCTCTGCTTTCCCCATGTCCCGCTGGCAGGAGCTGGGCAGAACCAAGAGAGCAGCCAAGTCTGCCCTCCCACCTGCCCAGCTCTGTATGCCTGGCTCCAGCCCCACATGCAGGGCTTCCCTGTGGCTGAGCAGGCTGCTCGCTCTGCGTGCCTTTGCAGTGACAGCGGGTTCGAGCTGCTGGACCTGGAGGCAGGTGCTGTGCGTGTCTCAATTAGTGCTCAACTGTTTGGGGTTTGGTAGGTGTCTGATTAGCTCTGTTGGTTGTAGTGTGGTACTAATAACACCATGGTCATGGGTTTGTTCCTTGTATGGGCCACCAAACTTGTCATCCCTCCTTATGTTTTCCTTCATGTGCAACAACTGCCTCACCCTACAGCTTCCTTCTTTGGGAGGGAAGGAGACAAGGCAGAGACTGCCTGCATGGCTCTGCTCTGGGAACGGCTACTATGCAGGGACAGGAAAACAACTGCGTTCCTGGGAGGTGTGGGCAGCAGAAGTTTTAGCAGCAGAGACACCGCCTGTGCCAGGGCGGAGGGAAGGGCAGAGTGGAGCATGAAATAGCACTGAGCATGGGCACTTCCACTACGTATACCTTCTTCTCCTGCTCCCATCCCTTCTACACATAGCAGGAGCAGCACCCCGCGGATAATTTGCTCGCGAATCAGTCCCCCTCCCCATCAGCTGTGCAGTGCCTGCCCCTTGTCTATCCCCAGCTCTAGTCCCAGCCCCACTCCCTCCCTCCCTCACTGCTGCACCCACTCTCCTCCCCACCCTTGCTTCAGTCGCCAGGAGCCCACGGCCGGGCTGCGTTGTGGCCCTACTGCTGCCCGGTGTTGGGGGGGCACTAAGCCCCATTAGCGCCTCCCTTCTGCTGCCAGTGGTTATTATTTACTTGCATTGGAGTCTGAGGGGCAATTTTTGAGACCCCTAAGGAAGAGACCTGAAGTAGGAACATGGTTTGATCCCACATTAAGACATTTGTTACAAGGAGGATCTTATTTTTCCTCTCTCCAGCCCCATTCACTGCCATAGCAATTTGTCACTCATGGGTTTTATTCTTCTCCCCTGTACCCTTTTTGAACCAGTCACTCAAGACTAGTAGAATACTGGAACTCTCCTTTGTGTCTGACCACATGAAGCACATGGTGAGATACTTGCTCCGTGTGCTGTACATTGGGACATAATAAAGAGCTTTAGGTCTCTTTTTTATCAGAAAACTATTTACAGTTGTAGCCAGTGTAAAAACCATGTGCAAACAGACTGACTTTGTGGTGTCTTGTCAAAACCTCTGCCTTTTGCAACCTGTGTTCTTCCTTCCAAGATGTTGCATGCATGTTGCTACATCCTTCACTTGAAAAAGTGTTGTTGATTTGTCTTTTATGTACAATCACACTTGTTGACATGCAGGAATTGTAGGGTCTTGATCTTTACTGTCATCCTGTTTTTATTTTTATGGTGATTGTGTGGGGCAAAATAAGTGAGGTAAAATTTAGAACAAAAGGGAAAAAGGCTAATTGTTCTTCAGCCAGTTGTCAGCCTCCAAGTCAACAATGTCAGCTTGAGAAGCTCTCTAGGGAGTCCAACACAAAATGAGCAGACATCCAGCATGTGTGCACATCCTTCACAAGCCCCAAGTGGGTTGTCCTGGATGACCCACACCTAATTGGCCTTGGAAGAGCAGACCTCATGACAGTTGAACCTAGTAAGCTAGTGCTATGGAATTCGTATGTGAGAACCCAAAGACAAGTAACTATTCCACCAGTCTGGTGATACGGGAATGCCTGGTAGTCCCATTTTCCTGCCTCAATGACCCGGCAATGTTTTGAGCAGAACAGAGAATTGTTGAGCAGGATGGAGAATTGTTCAGATAATACCTACATTGAACAGTTGGTAGCAGCGTTAGATACCTTATGTCCTTGAATAATAGGAAGAGCAGTATTAATTTGTGAAAACTTTGTTGACTGCATTCTGATGTTCAGTGAATGGATGTTGGTTAAGACTGGTAACCATGCAGGTTTTGATGGCTTTGATGAGCCTGTGATAGTTCTTATCATTTGATACATTGTGGACCTGTGAGCCTGATGTGGCAGTGTTTAACTAAACTTAAGTATTGGGTTTGCCATCTAAGTGGGAGATTCAAAAAACTGGCACTGCTTTAGAAGACTAGGCCTTGACAGTTGGTTGAGGAGGTGGTTTCTGGTTTTGTTTTTTCTGAGCTGCATTGGAGTGATGGTAACTGTGTGAGAGTGGGTGTATCTATATGTGCACTTTACTGTGAAGTTGACTAATTAGCTCCATAGTAAAGCGTTAGAGTCTACACATGCACCAATATTAGGGCACAGAAAACTAATTAACTCCACCATAATTTTAACATTATAGTGGAATCATTAAGAGCAATCAAATGCGTGTATACATGGTGGCCACTGGGTGCAAATTATGCCTGGTCAGCTCACCCAGCCGGGGGCCAGGCCCCTGGCTCCTGGCAGCCTCTCCACCACCTGACTCAGCCACCTGGAGCCCAAGGCTGACCCCACCATGTCTCCTGTGAGGCAGTGGATGCTCCACCCTGGTTCAAATTGCTGCTTTCCTGACTGAATGTGTAGATGCAGCACCCAGGAGCAGTTGAAGGAACAGTTGACTCCTTCCTACTTAGCTTGGCATTTCCTTAACTTCTTCTCTTTACTCCCTGTTGTTTCTCTCCAGGGCTACATCAGATTCTCTCTTCTTGCAAGCATATTTTTGGTTCTTTAGCTCAGAAGTCCCTGTGCTGGGCTATTGTTTACTTCCTGGGAGGTTGTATTGCCAGATCAGATCCTTCCTGTCCATTTGCTTTTGTCATTAGTTTCTTGGCTGTCTTTATTGATGATTGCCTTCCTGTTCCTTTGGGGAAAACAGCTTGGGTGCATCCCCACATGTAGGGGAATGCATATACCATGGCAAAAATAGCAGTGGCAGAAATTTGTGCTGCTGCTTTTTGCTGCTGCGCACACCCCAGCTTGTGGGGTTGGGTATGGAGCAACTTGTCCCGAGTGGAGTAGAGGAGGCTGGCCCTAGCAGCATTACCTGGGATCCTGGGGGCCTCCTGAGGCAGCAGCAGTGCCAATCTAGCCACACAGAGCCTGGCCGGATGCTAGACCATGGCTCTGGACAGCCAGGCTCCAGTTCTGCTTCATACTGCTGTTGTGTGTGTCACAACCCAATTAAGCAGTGCCCATGCCACTAGCAAGAGATACCATTCAAAGCATTTTCACTTCGCACTGGAGTCAACTAAGGGTTAAAAAAAAGAAGAAGCCCTTGCTGGTAACAGCCTTCTTTGCTGTGCATGCCAGAAAGAGATTTATAGCTGCGTCACTAACAAGAGATAAAACTTTAGCCTTCTGTGCTTTACATAAATCATTATAATTGGTCAGAGTAAAACTGGGAGTAGCCCTGCAACAAGACCCTAAAGGAGACCACTATATAATTGGCGATTCTAATTAAATTTATGACGTGGCGAAAAACAATTGGCTATTACACAAATAAAACCCGCTTACACTTCCGCAAAGTTGGAGACCTCTGAAAACACGTCACAGAGTAAATTGACGAGCTGATCATTCATCAGTCAATCTCCCCGCCGCGACCTCCTAGGCGTATCCTTCACCTTCATGCTCGATAAGACATAACCTGCCGACCGCCGGCCCGTATATATCTGCAGACCGACCTCATGAACTCTAAGCTGTAACTAACTAAGTATCTCTGACCTCCGCCATTCACCACCTTGACGGCGTAAGTAAACAATCTTGCTTTGCAACCAATAAGTGTCCGTGCCTAATTCCACTCCAAGCGTCACAAGTACCCGCCTGCCGGGCCCCTAAGGCCCCGGACCCCTCGCTGCAGTGCACGGCAGCGACAGTATGTACCATGCCACTTTTTTTTTTTCCACAGCTTTTTTTGACACTGGAATTTCCCAGTGTCAAACTTTTGTGCCATGTTACAAATTAGCTGCATGCTATTTGCAGTGCCCCAAACAGCTTTCAGGCATCGCACATTGCACGTGCGCGCTCATCTGGACATGCTCCTGGTGTTCAAATATATGTTTTCTGTTGAATTCTTGGTATCTGTACTGTAGACTACTTTCTGTGCATAGTGTATCAGGTATACCGTATCACGCAAAATGCACCTTCAGTTCTTAATCACAATTCTTGCTTGAGTATCATCCAGATAATTCATCTGCCAGAAACTGGAATGATTCATAGATTCATAGATGTTAGGGTTGGAAGGGACCTCAATAGATCATCGAGTCTGACCCCCTGCA